AGTAATTAGGTGAAGAAGTAACAAATGACACTCAGTGTTGTGCATTCATTATTGGTTCATGGTCTCTTTTGAGAAAAGCGTTCTCGCTTCGGGGTTTTTCATCAGGTTCACATCTCTTTCGATTTGTTAGGTCGCCATGGAGATGTATCCGTTGCGAGCTCAGCGGCTGTTAGGATTTCCCCCATTAGACTTTGGGGACTTCATCCACAGTTAAAGGCTGTGTGATGTGATTGAATCTCAGGCTGAAGGTCAAGAATGAACTTTACTTTAAACTCTAAAGGGGAAATGCTGTAAAGATTCACAGGTAGTCCGGGGATATATTTCACAATAAACAATGACTGAGACAGAGCAAAGCCTAGGAGCCGAGAAATAAATAAGAACTCTATCGCGATAAACTTCACGGTGGGATGCATTTGTTCTCTCTGCTGTTCTGTGTGCTGGATATTATTTACAGTGCATCCATCGGGTTTTTCCTTAGCTATTAATATCCTGCAGTCCATCGATATGTGTGTATTATAAGCAATAAGCAGTTTTTTCCATTGCAATATTTAAATTGTTCTCATGCAACAGGAAGAACTGGGCCATGTTTGTTTTACCTGTTTTTAAGCTGTGAAAGCTCTTGTTTGCACCTTTGTTTATTCTCCTTTGCATATTTCTTTGTGCTGTCTTCCGTATTGTTTCCTTACTCGTCAATGTTGAAATTGCTGAAACTACAAGACAATAATGTGTCTAAATTTGCTTCTGTGTATGTAAGAGGTGAGGAAAATAGTTATAGGGTAGGGTGGGTGTCATATTTAATGGACAACATCATCTGTGTTAAGGAAAAATCCATTTCTTTAAGAATGCTTTTTTAAACAATATCAATGTACAGTATTCAAGACATACCCTCCTAAATAACCTACTTCCTTCTTTGTATTACATTAAGTGGTCATCGTATTTTTAGGTACACCAGCCGATGCCTTGAAAAGGTTTTAGTTTCAATTCATCCCGAGGAGAATTCAGCCGTGGAGCACATACACAGGGCCCTAAATTATTCAGCAACAGTAAACATGGAAAAACATGTCTGAATAAATGACTACATGGAGGAAAAGGTATGAAATTACACATTAGCCCAACTACAAACCGTGGAAGTCCCATCGTCCTGATTTAGAAGTCATCTGCTGTGTGTTACCTCAAGCTTTGTAACAGGAAGTTGATCATTTGAGATGTAATTTGATTCCCAACACCCTTGTTTACTCTCACACAATTAGCCAAGCATGTATTCTACACAGCACTGGCATAATTAAGAGCTTAATCAGGCATGGAGTTGACGCGGAATGAGGCGGTAACAGCAACTACCCGTTAGCAAATTTTTTACATCCGTCTGCTTCGTTTACTACCAGTTCTAGAGGAGTACTGTTCCCAGTCTGACAAGTGTCCCTGGTCCACTGAAGAAGCAGTGGAATGCGTGTTGAAGCAAATACAGCAGGAAAAACACCTCCTATATTCCTCATATCATTTTCAGTCTGCTACTTAAAAAACGATTCCTTTGTGTAACTATTTGTCTCCTTCAAATGTTCAAACAAGCGGCGCTACCTGGAAAACGTGCATTTGATATGGATGCAAAATAAAATTAAAGCTTAAAGATGCCAAAATAAAACAAGAAGAAAAATCTGTTTAGGGCTGTGTGCATAGCGTTTGATAATGAGACCCAAAGGAAAGTGTGGTTAGAGATTTATGTTTGTAAAAGGTAAAAGAATACCACGCAACCGAATGGCAATTTTAGTATGTACGGTAGCCTACTTTCTCTCCGCTATACCGCCTCCTCCGGGCATAGGAAGTCCCCTGACAGCGCTAAAAACGCACACATAACAAACCCACTTTGCTCCTGGAATCGTCTTTTTGTATTGAGAGAGAGTTCTAAGGCGCCGCAAGAAGCTCAAGAAGAAGCACGGCGTCTTTCTCTCGTGTTCAGGCTTTTACACAACCGATACCTGGTGTGTCCACTGTGGTTTAATCCTCCCCCCTTTGGTAAATGCCACGAGGAATAAGCAGTGCTGACCTCGGGAGGCGCGGGGGCCGGATATGAGGGGTGTCTCTTTAAGAGCTTGCGTGGGTAATTGAGTAGAGCGGCGGGGTGGTTCGCTTTGATGGCATTTGGCGGGAGTGCGAGCGAGTGCACAGAAGCAGGAGAGAGAGAAATACGCGGGAAGCAGAGGGTCTGGGAAACAGACAAAAACATTCAGCGGCCAACAGTAAAAACGAGTCGAAGCAAAGAGACATATTTGGTCGATTGTGAGGTTTAAGAGCAGACGTTAGCGCCGCTAGGCTCCTCGCCGTCGGGTTCTCCAAGCAGCCTGGGCAAAAAACACTCGCCCAAGAACCCCCCCCAGCCCATCATTAGTTCAATTTATGCTTGAAAGCCGGCGGCCTATTGGATTAAACCCTACTAAGCATGTCACCTTAGCCCATGGATTCACTTTGTACTACAAAGTTCTTTTTAAAGATAAAAATAACTTTAATAAGTTGTAGGAAGTGAAACTTTTAGTCGCCCAGCATTGATTTTTCCAACTAAAATGAACATATTTACCCAGCTGATCAATACATTTACAGCCAAATAAACGGGAGAATTATTTTCGGGGGGTCTTGTTCGCAGAGCGAGAGACGCCAGGCAAAGGTGCTGCATAATCTGAAAGGGACAGGTGCACGCCAGCGCTCTGAAATCCACTGGAAGTTGGTTATTGTGGTTTAGCGGCTGATTAGGCCCGCTTATCCACACAGCCAGCAGCCGGAGCTGCAGCTGTGGCGCACAGATCATGGAGGCCGTTAAGGTACTTTGAAACCATTAGCTGAGGATTACCGCAGTTTGCATCATAATTCACACTTCTTGGAGTCATCACTCAGTCAGGTTTGAACAGGTAGGGCTCATTTGCAGTTTACGATGTGACTTACACTTTCATTATATCCAGAGTCCATCGCTTTTATATGTTAATAAATTCATTGAAATGCAACAGAAAAAGGACACTTCTCTAGATCCGGAATCTGCCTGAGAGTCGTCACGTTTTTACATTTTCTCAGTATGTGATGGCCGTCTGTACAGTCTGTGGTGCGCTGCAAACATGCACTGATAAGACCTCATTCTGCATACTTGGGTGGTAGCTTGCCCCTTCGGTTCGGCTGTGAAGCTAACGTGAATGTTAGCGGAAGCAGCTACAGAACAGATCTTTAAATGGAACCATTAAGCCCTCAGTGAGGGCGTCTGGTTACAACCTCAAAGACCGCCAAGTGATGCCTGGGGCACCAAAATACGTTTTGCTTCTTATTTTTTTCTAACTTCTCAGTAGAAACACATAAAAAGCCTTTGTTTAAGTTAGTGCTATTATGCGCATCTAGAGAACAAGCAAAATGTGTAACACCTGAATTACTTTAGACTTTTAGGATACAGCCCTTTATATAGACGGTATCATCAGGGGTCAAATGTAAGATCATACATTTCACAGACATCATTTTCTATGAGGAAACAAAGTTGGTTATAGATTTAATAATCGATTTAATAAACCACTTTGAAACGGCATGATTATGTTTGAATACTATCAAGTATTTCAGCGAGGGATCTTTTTTTATAAACCACTTTAGAAGTTGACTTTTCTGACTGGCTGGTTTGAATCCTTGGAGGAAAGTCAACAACAAGCAACAGCATTTTATCTGGTTGGATTCCTCTTACTGGTATGTGGACCACAATTAAAAGCCTTGAGTCTCATTATCTAAAAAAGCATTTAGAATTCAAATTTTCTATCCGTTATTGCTGCTCAGAAAAATCACAATTACACATTTTTCCTTAAATCGCTCAACCATTACAATAATTATTACTTTTCCATTAAATTATGCAATGTATCTCTTATTATCTATATTCCAGTTAAAGGTTAATGGAAAAGTAAGTTATCTTTCCTATCTGCCCTTCTAAAAAACCCAAATGAAACGTAATTGTGCAAAAAGCAATACATCGTCGGTTCTTTTCACTTTAATTGGAAAAAGGTCAGTTAGTTATCTCGTGGTTGAGAAATGGCAGAAAGGATGACAATGAGTAAAGGATGATAAGAACTCTAACCACCCAGCCGGCTCGGCTCCTCTCTTCGTGCGCATTAATTAAGGGAAATAACTGGCATGTCCTTTAGGAGCTAATAAAGGACGCAGCAACCAATTCAGGAGGTGAAACATAAAGAGGAAAATGGAATTGATTGATTTACATCAGCCTTTGAGGGACGGCAGAGGACAGCTGCATAAGGACCAAAAGAATGACTTGGAGATTGATGGCTAAATTCTTGCCATGACTCATTCCCATCACTGACAAGCGCGATATTTAAACTGACTTCATCACCACTAGAAGTCACACCGCACCTTCCCTTTGCACTCACCGACTTCATGACCACAGACAGTGAAATGAAGGCTAAAGCTTTGGGAAACCCATTAGCTCGGCCGAAAAAGCAGTGTAGTGGGAGTCTCATGCTAAAATGAGAAAGGAGTTAGAAACAGCGGCGGGTCTATCATGGCGGAGGCAAGTGAAACCCCTGACTGAAAGTTTGATGAGGCACTTTACAGCCCAGCAGGAGTCTCCTCTGCCCACCGGCTGCCCTGAAAATCCTTACCAGACCTGCAGGTCAATAAGGTCTGACGAGTCTGCTGCTTTTCGCGCCAGGAAAGCCAACAGGGTATTTATGCTGTTATGCAGCTCGGCGTTTCTCTTATTTCTCTCATTTAATGAGTACTAGAGCACAACAACGTTGTCAAAAGCAACTTCTGGGATTTTTACAGTGACTGACAGCTCGCAACTTCAATCGAGGTGAAGCCTGGTGCTCGAATGTGGGTAAAGCACAGCGAAATTGAAGTATTTGCAATGAGTGTGCGTGTGCGTGTGTGTGGTGGGGCAACAGTTAGGGTTAGGGTGGCGTACACGTAGGCTGGCGCACAGAAGCCCGTCAGAGTGCACTCATTCCGCTCTTATGTCGGCCCCAGTCACTCACTCTGGGTGAAGCGCGGCGGGTTGTCGTTGACGTCGCTGAGCCTCACGGTGACGGTGGTGGTCCCGGATAATCCGCCCAGGTGGCCCCCCATGTCCTTGGCCTGAAGCAGGACCAGGTACTGGTCCTGGGTCTCCCTGTCCATGTCAGGCACAGCCGTGCGCAGAATGCCTAGCGCACAAAAACAACACACACACACAGACATTTGAGGATCAGTGTGGCGGTGAAACGTTTGAAAAGAGGGGAAATTACGTTTTCAATGTGGCCAAATGGCACCAAAATGTCCGTAATGCCTCTGCTTTGATGATCACTAGGAACGGAACCCTCGGGCTCCCAAATACAGGCCCGGCTTGTGCTCTGTTTAGAACAAAAGCGGCACAATGGGATCTCGTCCAGTTCTACTGTGGATTTTTAACTACAGACTGTGTTCTTCATGTTCTGCATGACAATAGCTCTGCATCGAGCGTTTGGAGGCATCACTTTCTAACAAAGAATACTTTCATTCATTGGACTTACGAGCTGTTAGTAATGACCTCAATAATGGTTAATAAATCCTGCATTAATGCTTTGTGTCTCCGTATGTCATTTGTAATAACTGCTTATGGCCCAGCATGCCTTGCTGTGTCGCTCAGGCCCTTTAATTCACCAACACGTACAGTTCAGACTCTACTGAGACGAACCTCAAACCGTTTTCTGAGGCAATTGGATGAGCAGATAACTTTAACTATGTACCCTGTGGAAGGCTGAACATGTTAATACACACGGTGACCTTTTATTAATGACTCATTAACATCTCTAGCAGCAGATGAGCCCTGTTATCATGAACCCAAGGCAGCCAGCACCCCTTGTCGAAAAAATGCACTTACACGTGTTCCTAAGTTAATAATAAAAAGGTTGTGGGCCTCATGCTTTGCAAAAAGCCATTCAGCCATGCAGTTAAATGTGGATAAATGAATAAGTTGTTACTTCACGGAGGTGGGTCCAGATGCTCTGCGCCTCTTCTCTAAAGGGTGACCGGTAAAGGGATTTATTGCCCAGCGATTAGAGGGATAAAAAGACTCAGGGCCTCCTGCACATTTGCAAACGTTGCGTTCTCAGTGCCGTGGAGAAAGCGCAGTTAGCGCACGCTGTCATACTTCAGCTTTTTACGTCGTATTTAAGAAACCCGCAGCTCATCGGGTAATCAACCAATTCAAGTCCACACATACAAGCTGTTTGTCAATTTATATCACTGGCTACGACAACATCAAGTTGGTGCTGTGGTAAAAATAAAATAAGAGCCATAACTTTGGTGATAGTAATTAGACTGCTTTCACTCTGATTGACAGATCAAGTTCCTCCTCAAACTCTGGGGGGCTTTTGAAGCCGGACACATCAGACAGCCTTGTCATCGGCCTGAAGACACGACCGCCTTTCCTGACAATATGACAGCTTTTTGGAGACATCCAGTTTCCACTTGACAGCAACAATGCATTACTTAATGTCCTGTTAAAGGCGCACAGAAACACACACACACATAAACACAGGCATGTGAAGAAGCTCATATGGGAGAAATAAATCACCCAACGCGGAAAGCCAGACATGCTGACAGAGCGTAAAATCTTGTGCTGTACCTCACACTGTCCCACAGCACGCCTGAGACACATCACTTGCAGGCATTCCACATCCATCACCTCCTCTGTGCAAATGACCCCATTTGGCTTTGTTTGTTTGCACAAACAAGTGTCGGGCTGCTGTCGCCCCGACGTGGGCCCCAAACGGCGGGCTGGATGAACTCGACGGTCAGCTCAAGGTGAATCACATCTGGCGCTGGCTTGTTTTGAATTCTAACGAACCCGTTGAAATATATATCTGGGTATCTGAGCAGAATTCATGAACAAAACAAATCTGAATGTGCCAGAAGACGCGATCGCCTCGGAGCGTGCGCTTTAAATAAGACCTTTGGGTGATGGAGGCGACGAGGAACGGAGTGATCGGGGAAAAAAAGGAAGATATATCTGGAGCGGAGAGAAGAAAGCGGACGCGTTCAGAATACCAAAGCTGGTCTAACAGCACCGTGTCACGGCTAATACACATAGGGCGAGATTAGAATTCATATTCTCATTATTGGCATTTGGAAAGAGCAGCGGCGCTCTCATTGCTTGTTGCAGAGGTTCTCACATGTCAAAGCAATCAATTACTAAACATTCTATGAGCGAAACACAAGTACCGGCCACCTGCGACCGGTCGCTTGGGCCAAATTACCGCTCGCATGCAGGAACATGCTCCAGGCAACAACAAAAAAAGCAACAACTTGTGCAGCCTCGCCGTGAGCTAAATGCTAAATGTGTTCTGTGTGTGCCGTCGATCAAAACGACATCTAAGTCAATAGACAGTCAGAGCTCCATTTCTGAGGCCTCTTTTAAAAATACAAATAAAAAAGTATTCATACCTTCGTCCTTTGAAGCAGTCTGTGATCGGTCCTTCATAACAGCTCACCTTTTGCTGACGTCTCTCTTTGGAACACATGTCTTTTTTTTGTGTTTGCGTTATTCAGAAATATTGTTGGGTTTTTGTTGCGCGCATATAGGAACTGACAGCAAGAATACATTTCTGCCAAATAGACGGGATGGAGACCTGTGTGTGTGTGTGTGTTTTGGAGGTGGGAGTTTGAGGCTGTAGGGACAAGGAAAGTGGGAAAGATGGATGACTAAGTAAACAAGGGATGCACAAGGGGGCAAAGTGTTACTGTAGTTTAACCGTGTGTCAGTGTGTGCGCGTGGGAGCATGGATTTGATGTGAGTAACCGAGTGAGAGCAAGGAAAAAGAAAAGAAACAACACTCTGATTGTGCACGCGGCCCTGCGCATCCTCTGGATCTGTATGCACACCTGCACGAACATGTGTGTGCTATTGTGTCCATCTATTCTCGCATGCTCGGGCCTGACTTCGGTGTGTTTTTGCATTTCAACATCTTGAGTGTATTTGCTTTTCTGCGTGGCGCGAGTGTGTGTTTGCCTCCAGACATCTGCGCATCGTTCTCTGCCCATGTGTGTTGTGATGGGAACATACACGCACGCACACACACACACACACACACACACACACACACACACACACAGGCGTGCACGGATATGTAAACACACACACACTCACCTGTCTGGGGATCGACAGAGAAGTACTGCTGGCCCTGCACCAGTGTGTACACTAGCTTGGCGCTGTTGCCATAAGTCGGGTCATCAGCATCTGTCGCTGTCACCTGGATTATAGACGTGCCTGCAGGGGAGGAGAGGCGGGGGAAGGAGGGGGCAACAGAGAGGATAGGGCAAAGGAAAAGGAAAGAAAAGAGGGAAAGGGGACATGGGAAGAGGAGAGAGAGAGAGTAAAAAACATGGCAGAGCTGGAGTTAAGTGGACAGAAAGCAGCAGCACTTTAAGAGCATAAGAAAGCTTTATATCGAGACAACCTCCACTCTCCCCTTTCACTCCTTCTTTTTCAATCTCTTTCCAACGGTAGTGTGACAAATACTTAACCCGCCCCTCCCGTCCCTCAAATCGCACCCTCTCCCTTACTCTCCTCATCCCCCCGCCCCAGAATCCCTCTGTCTCACTTAATTTCTCTTCATCTCCTTCTCCAATTCCCTTTAGCTCCCTCTCTCAATCGGACCGCGTGTCTCCTCCATGGCCTCCTTCTCTCATCCTTAAATCTCTTTTCTACGCAGCTCTCAAAAAGAAATACATACTAAATAAAGTAAACACATTTCATACGTGTATGTTCCAGTGCAAATGGAATGGAAGAAGGGGATTTGTGCGAGCAGCTGCTACTTTATTTCTGATCAACGCCATGACTGCATCGTTATGGGAAAGATAGGCGGAGAGAGTGCGAGTGTGTGTGTGAGTATGTGTGTTTAATTGTGCGTGTGTGTGTATGAGAGAAAGCGAGAGAATCGTCTGTACCAAACTGAAAAAGTAACTTAAGTAGGAGTAGTAAGGATAAGTCAGGTTTGGGGTTTTAAAAGTGCATTTGCTGGAAAAACCTTTGCATAAATACTGTAATGAGATTGTAAATACATATCGGAGTACTTCTTCCACCTCCAGCAGCCTGTTTTTTTCTGGTTATAATGAAATACCTGATCGACGACAACAATGGATGAGAGTGCAGAAGCACAAGCAGTCATGATGTAGCACAGAGGCCAATTTACATCAAATCATTTAAACCGCTTCATTTGGAAGCATGTAGTGTAATGTTGGTATTTAAAGTTGAACCGTCATTTATTTATAGATTTTCAGATCTGCTGCCATTATTTTCAATTCATGCAAAATTTGATTTATTTCTTGATTTTTTCCCAGATAAGGAAATACTTCTAGAAATACTTCCATTTCATGATTATCTTCTCTTTTCTGTCTCGTTTCAAAGCGCTCCTTCACTAGATCAGCTTCTGACTACAAAGCGCTGCTATTGAATGTCATTATGTTTCTTTTTTTTTTAGATATCGTAGATAAGTGCTAGGGGGCATAAGTAGATAAGTAGACAGACATGTTTCTTTTGACAGCAGTAAAAAAAACTAATCAGATCAAACAGCGTGACTCCGAGGGTTGATGCAACAAGTGCAAGGCGGAGGCAAACCGATTGGTATGCAGCCCGCCAGCCGCCAGCCGCGGACACACTCGGCGGGAATCAAACATCAGCACTGACATGCATCCATCTGGAAAGCGTGTTCAGACGTCTCTCCTCTCGGGGGAAAAGGAACAGGAGTCCTTTGCTGCTTAAACTTCAAATGTGAGTTATTCTCTTAGAATGCAGATACACATCTGGGAAGATGGTTGTACCCAGTCGAGTGAAACCAGCAAAAAACAATGTGCAGGCACACATTTTAAGCCGGGGTGGGGCCAAGGCGAAACGGTTCCAACTGGTCACCCCCCCCCGCCACCCCCCCGACCTTAAGTATCTAATGTAACACGCCTTTGATAGGAGCCATATCTCCTCAGTCAGGTGTGCAGCAAAGCGCCTCAGTAAATATTGAGTCCTCAAGGAATGAACAACTCAATAGGAGGAGTGAGCGGACGCTAGGTGACAACACGCGTGAGGCATCCGAAGGGATTCGTAAAAAATGCCCCCCCCCCCTCGCCCCCCTCTCACGTACTTCGCCCCCAAGCTTTGTCCCCCAGAGTCATTATTCTGATCTGAATTAAACAATTGGGCGGGAGTGGCCCTCAATGTCTACAAACAACCTTTAAGAGGCAGACGACCTCGGTTTTTTTTTTAAATACCAGCTTCTTTTCCGGCAAATTCAAAAGTTTTCCTGAAAGCAATTATCCCTGCTTCAAAAAAAAAAATAGAGGCAAGAGTGCTCCTCAGAGTAGAAGCCATTTTCAACGGGCAGAGTGGAATTCAAATGCAGATTAGAGTACTTTTTCTACATGTAAACTGGTTCCTGAAGGCACTCTGCAGTCATGCTCCGAATTACAATTCATGCAGTTATTGTCACTTCAACATCTCACTGCAAAAAAAGTAAAAAAGCCTTCTCAGCCTTTACCTCTTAATTTGTTCTTATTCCGAGCACTACTGTCATACTGCATCCCCCTTCAGTCACGGAAATATTACTGCGGCTGTGACTTTCTCTGTTACGCCTATTCAGGGGTAAACTAAAAGAAAATTATTTATTTCCAAGTGATAGATTATATGAATATATATATATATATATTCAGAAATAATAATAATAACTATAATAATATAATAACAATGTTCTATATTTTTGTGTTACGTTTTGGATAGAAAAGTGTAGTAATGTTCATGCGCAACAACGCTCCTATCTCTTTTGAGTTTTCAGAAAAGGCCTCCACTCTGAAACACTCCACTGTTTCTGCTGAATTTAGTTAATATACTTTGTTTTGGCTTTTTTGGGGGGGGGGGGGTGTAGATCATCTGATACACGGACACCACCATACATCAATACCCCCAGGAAAGCATTTAAACAGGCGTTTCTAAACTGCACACTTAGATGCGCGCTAGATTTATACAGATTAGGGTATCAAAAATAGAATCTTGATGGATTTTAGGTGTTAGCCCTAGAAACCCACTTATTCCTTTTTTTCTCCTTTTTACCGTGACAGAATTTCTTCATTGTAAAGATTCTGCCACAGTGACAGCATTTCGCAGTACACCGCCCCTGAAGGCTCCATGTTTCCTGAAATGTGCTGCTGGCGCAGGTGGGTGTGACCATATTATTCTTGGTTGGCGCTGCAATGTGTAATAAAGGCTGGAACTATGACTGGTGGGCGGAATAGATTACTCGTAGGTGGGCTCCCCGTTTTGCCCAATCCCGGCTGAAAAAGCATCCGGCAGCTTCCTAATGAGCCGAGAGGAGACTGCTCTTCAGATCCCCAAAGGAGGGACGCGGCACCCACCACTCGAATATGAATACAAGCATCCCTAATAGAAAGATTATGTAGAACAATCCAAGTCTATACTTCTACTGCTTGTACTTTTTAATGCTCAAAATGTTTCAATATGTTGTTTTCAGATTAGAAAATGTACACTGACACAAGCTAACTGCAACTGCATAGTGAGCTAAAGAATATCGCATAAAAAATGAAATGTTCAAGTCATTTGCAATATTACACAACTTGGGAGCTCCCCATGATATGAGCATTAATGGCCATATCATTAGTGTCATAAACCAAACCGCTCAGCTTGTGCATAGCTCCACATGTTTGAATAGGAGACTACAGATGGAGGGTAGGCACTGCATCATATCTACAGGTATTTAATCTACAAAAGGCAAAATAGCTTGTAGATCTAACTAACAGCTCTGGCGACAATGTTATTGAAAGTGACGCATTAATCCAACCCATTACCGAATCCGCCTGCATTGCATTTCAATTCAATTCGCATCCGATTTTGATCTGGGGCGGTTTGAAGAGGTCTGTGTGTGTGTATGTGTGTGTGTGTGTGTGTGTGTGTGTGTGTGTGTGTGTGTGCACACTTGACAAATCCAGCCATAACATTTTCTCAGTCCGGTCCGAGCAGGCGGAAACAGAGATGCAATTTCTTGCCGAAAGAGTAATAAAAGTGAGCTGCGCCGGGCGACCCACCTGCTCCCAACCGAAGAGTGCATTTGAGAGTTCAAATGAAACTCTCTGATGACGTCACTTGTTGTCATTTGCATTCGTTTTCGCAATGAATTTATACTTCTCCTTTCGTAAGACGTATGAGACTGTGGAGTGGTAAATTGAGGTAAAGCACGTGGCCTACATTTATAGAAACTTCCCGCAGCACCAACGCCCCCCCACTTTGTGCTGCTTTTAGCTTGTGCCTGCACTGCAGGCCCTTTACAAACGACATACAGTATATGTTGTTACAATCTAAAAAGCACAAATAGCCACCTGGACACAAAGCTTTGCTGAAACTATACTGAGTGGAATGTTTAATTTTCCTCCCTCTTGCAACCCGTACATTAGTAAATGTTTGCACAGTTGCTCTCGGAGTGCATTGTTTGCATTTAGTCTTCAAGACTAAATGCAAACAAGTTTTCATTTAATTTAAACTTGTCGAGACTTGGGCGCGAAACTGAGCTCAGGTGTGCTGAATGAAGACTGACGGAAATGTCAGCACATCTCATTTTAGTAGTGAATTCTTATCTAAAATATACTTGATGCTCTCTTGAATCCGTATGTGCGTGTGATAAATGATAAAATATATAACAGAAGAACTTTATGGCTCATAGATATAGACAAGACCAGCATCGCGTCTTCGCCGTGACTGCGCTGCCTTCTGGGGCAAAGGAACTCGCTGTCACACAAGAAGAGAAAATCTCTTTTGTGGCGGGTTGTTGGAGGCTGTGACATTGACATTTGAGGCATGTGTTCACTGTCTGTGTGTCAAATGACAACAGGTGCTGGTGACAGGCACGTTACAGCGCTGGCTTGACTGGGAGGATGCTGGACCTATTGATCAAACCGATGGCTGCTGGCAGGTTCGCTATTTACAGATAACACTTCAGTGATTGAGTCAATTATGTGTAAACCTCTGGAGGAGCTGGAGTTTGAATATTCTCTCTCAAGTTGGTCTGGGTTTTATTTTTGAGTTCTCCTGACAAAGACGTGGTTGATTCAGGACTCTAAACTGTCCGAGGCGTAAATAGCCTTCTGCCTCTGTTGGTTAGTGTGATAGCCGCAGGAAAACATTGGAAATCTCAGAAAACACAGATTATTATTATTTCTCTCATGTGAAATAACTACAACAGTTTTTACTATGCCAGAAAGGATTGTATTCATGTAGGAGCTAGAGATGTCCTAATTCATTCATATTACAGATACCTCCCAACCACAGTACACTCTCTCATAGCAAGGAGAGGATTGCAAGATTTTCAGGGACTTTAAAGTTTGGAATCTTAACTGATGCTGTGAATAAGTATATATATATACTGTAGATTTGCCAGAAATTGTACAGATTGCTGCTTTCGCTGTGAACGCAGCTTGGTGATCACAGTAATAATTAGAAAGCAATAACTTTGGAGGAGAGTGTTCATCTTTAGTTATAAATAAACTTTACATCCCTAAGGCTAAAAACGCTGTGGACCAAATGTCCACATTAAGACTGGAAGCCAAGCAGCCAGTAATGTTACATCAGTGCCGTGTAGCATTACGGCTGCATTTGAAATATTTTCCATGTCACTTTAAAAGAGCTTTTTATAACAACAACTCATACCACAGTTAATCTAACACGTAAGGAACGTTTGAAACGTCGAGTAAGTGATTGCTGTAGCTCAGCAGTCAATAACTTAAAATAACAATAACTTAAGTTTCTCAGAGTGAGGGAAGTTTATGTATGTATGTATTATGTATGCAGGCTTTACCAACTGCTTATTCAAAGCTGTTGAATAGAAATGAGAAGAAGGAGATAGAAATAATAAAGCATGCTGTCTAGGTCGAGGGGGACATTTGTCATTTGGGAGCTCGACAGTAGTGGTACTTTATTTGATTAAACGGCAAACCAATAAAAGGCCTGCAAGGCGTAGTATGTGGACAGAATGGGACTTCAAAAACCCGCTCAATCACGGTAAGTTCTTATCCCTGCCATTAAGAAGATCTTCTCTAGGCTTTTGATATGATTATTCAATCACAGCGCAGGACAGACAGAGACATGTGAGCTAAAGAAATGTACGCGATCGACAATCCTCTGACCACATGTTGGGCTTCGCGCAAGATTACCAAAGTCTAATAATGGCATACGTCCATGTTGTCTTCTGGTCGAAAGATGAAGCGGAATCACGTTACTGTCTTGGATGAAAAATTCTACTACACGGTACTGTCTGGGTGGCAGATGGTGTCGCGATGGCAATTTATTCATGTAATACAACAAATTGTGTTTCTGAGGTGGACTGAGCGAGTGGGATCACAGCAGAAAGTTCAGGTGATCATATTTGGGGACACCTTCGGGCAGCTTTGCTTATAGACTAAATGTGTTTACGTACAAGAATTCAATTCAGGGACAAGTAATTAGAAAAAAATATCTGAAACTGTAATGTGGTGGAACCAAAGTGAGTAAATATAAATATGTATATATCTATATATATATATATATATATATATATATATACAATTTCAGAGATCAATTAATTATTGGTGTTTTTTTCAGCCAGTTGTTTGCAACCGCCTTGTCTTTATGAGACAAGTTTTTTGAACATGTGTGTCACCGAGGAACTGAGGCCATATTTAGCAAAAACGTCCTCTCATCCTCCCTCCAACTTTTCCGACCCGGCCTGCAGTACCTATATTTGCCATCTCAGGCACGATGGCGCTGTAGGGGCCTTCGTCAAAGATAGGCGGGTTGTCGTTGATGTCTTGCACCCGGATGAGGAACTGCGAGGAGGGCTCCAGGGCGCGGTCTGTCTGCCTGTCGGTGGCCGTGGCGATGAGACGGTATTCGTCCTTCTCCTCCCGGTCCAGTGGCTTGGTGACGTGGATGTTACCTGTCTTCTCGTCTATCACGAAAACCGAGCCGGCCCCCTCGCCTCGCAGGACGTATTTAGTGCGTCCATCGTTCCTGTCCATGTCGGTGTGCAGCTAGGAGGAGAGGGGACAATGAGAGAAAGAACAGGGTAAAACATGAAGTGGATAGATGCGAGACGTAAGACGGACAAAGGGTGGAAGAGAAAGAAGAGAATAAACACCAGTTAAAGATGGAGTTTGTTTTTTCGGGACAGGCATTGAAAACTAAACAAGTAGATTATCCTCGGCATGCCTTGAGGATATAATGCATTTAAACAGAGGGAGACAAAAGAAACGCGCACATCCCTCTCTCTCTCTCTCTCTCTCTTTCTTTCTTTCTCTGCTCACTCAGACCCAAACACTTTCCTCCTTACGTGCTGTGTCTCTTCTTTCCTGCAGTATGAGCAGTTATGAACCAACTCTTTGATCACCAATGACATTGTGAACACATTCTCCGCCACTGGCTCTTAAAGCCTCTATTCACTTCCTAGGCAGCTGTGGACGGCAAGAGCTTACTAGTCCACGCACATGCAGGGCCCCGGCTATTTAATGAAAGCACCAAATCAAAGGAATAATGAACGGCGGCCCAATCAATTATTTCCTGACTAATAGGTGTGTATGAGGGATACTAGAGGCCTGCATGGGAGCGGGACATGCTGTATCGATCACAGCTTGGTGTTGGTGCTTTATTAGATCAGTGCCTGGCGGGATGGTAGAGGCAGCCGAGCGACCAGCGTCCTCTCATGCAAGGAGAGGCAATATCGGGGAAGGCTCCACAATGTCCTGTGTCCTCGACCAGAGAGATACGCCAGCGGGATGCGCCCAGCACATCAAGATTCAATTTCATTACCCGCACCTACGTGAATCGAATAGCAACTGTGACTGGGGGTGGGGGGGGGGAAGGGGGGGTGGCGGGGAAAAATAAAAGAAGAAAGTGCTAAATTAGCCGCCACTCGCAAGAAAGTGTGACATTGTGACTTTAGACGAGAGAAGGTTGAGAGAAGAGCAGGAGATGGATGGGTGGGTTAGCTCAGACGAGCATTGTTGCATGGCAACAGCTAAGCACATCTGCTAAAGCAAAATGAGAATGGATACTGAATTGAAATTTTAATTTACTTTGAGCATCGTCATTTTTCAAAACGGGGGACGGGGGCACGGATACGCCAGCTTCCCGGGGGGTAAACGATGAATACGGCTGTTGACAAAAAGTAGTTTATTACGAAGAAAGCAATCATAAGTTCAGACTGGCGGTCGGAGAAAGTGTCTGAACAATGGTGGCACAAAGTCAGTTACACAAGGCTTCACCTGCAAATTACCCCTTGATTTAAATGGCAGGGCAGATTGGGGAATGTGAAAGCCCTCCAGCCACCGTGGAGGGTGCTGTGTGAGAGCAGTATACACTTACCCAATGTTGTAAGTTGTTTACTTTAACCGGGGGGGTTAGCATTGACTAGCGTTAGCATGTTGATGCTAGCTCTGTTTCTGAAGCCAGCCCAAGGAACGATGAAGGCCATAGCTAATGTGACTATGCGTTAAGGTGATAAGTCACCTGACAGCCAAAATGAAAAGCTCACCCTTGGGCGCGTCAAAATTTGCCGTGGAAGCTTGTTACAGTGTGTCGGTGCCAGCGGCATTAAAAAGCGTCAAAGAAAAGAATCGGTCCACAGGAACATCTTAAACCACTCCTGAAAAAAGCAAGCCTCTGCTGACCTGCAGTTATATTTTTACCAAAATGCATCCCCATGTATTGCTCAACTGTGCTGAACACATGGGCTTTGTTCAGATCGTAGAGTGTGAGATCTCCTGAGGTAAAACACACTGAGCACACGGCCATAGTGGACTGAATTATGATGGAGAGGTGCGCTGGCCATTTTCCCTTTACATTTTTATATTGGGTCTTTGTCCAGTCTGCAGACTCCTAGAGACGGGTTTGGAACAACGAATGATTTCTCACTATAGACTTGTGATGCAGCAGTAGCTTCTCAGATTATTTCGGCACCTTTCTTCCCCATATACTGTACAGTGCCTGCAGACTCGTCATTTTCTCATGTGACGGAAAACCAGTTATTACTTATAACAATAGCTCTTTCCTTTCCATGTCAAGGGGCATTTTAATCATATGGTCAGCCACTCCCACTATTTACCTGCCCCAAAACATCCTGTGTCTAGAGCACCATTCATAGTTAAGTAAGGAAAGTAAACAAATGACCTCTGCATGGCAGCTCCGATACAAAGCTGAAGCAGTGGTGTGAGCCTCCTGCAAACTGTTCTATGCCTCAGTTTCACTATATTTGTAAACGACTCAAGGAAATTGTGAACAATCAGTGCAGAGTAAGAAGAAATATTTGTGCTTGCCCGCCTGAAAGTGCCGCACAGCATATAATGGGCCAATAGAGTCTTGGCAACATGCAGGTAAGATATTGAGGCATGTTATACCATCATAATCAACTTTGTCTGCTCCGTTGGTTTGTTTGTAGACGCCTTTGTAATTTCCCATTATTTTGTTACTGAATCAAATTATCTATTGTTGTACCCAGGATCGCACAAGTTCAGTGAAAAGTACTTCATTTGAGCCTGTACTGAGTTTAGACTCTCATCTCGTCACGGGTGGAGCAACTGGGGCCAATTGACCAAAACTCCCGGCCGGTCAGGACCACCATGGGAGCACGGTTTCCTCGCTCTTCTTAACGAAGAGCCGTTTACAATCAAAGTCTTAACGGGCTTGCAGCTTAACGAGGGGACTTAACGAGCTTCGTAATGAAGCCCCGGCCATCATTACCACAGTCAGCGGTGGTGCTGCTGATTGAAAGCACCGCTCTGAGTCATTTTGAAGCAGGCAAACCCAGCCGAAGGAAACCAAATCCATTTAAGGCTGACCCCTCACCCTTATCTGCTCCTCCAAGATTAATAGGAAAGTATAATAAGGAAAACGCACTTAACCAGAATTGATGAACGCGGATGCTGTGTAGCGGCAGAAGTGGCACGGCTTTCTGAATATCTCGTAGCAACAGTCAGTGTGAAAGAATACCTAAACAATATTATACACCAGCAACAACTGGATGGTGCCATATTTCACATCTTTAACTTGAATATTATCACACCTCATAACTCCCACGTTTCATATCCCGCCGATATGCCATCAAATATATCAAGAGCCAAACAATATGAAGCCACTGGCCACGAAAGCCAAATTTACCGATGTGTCACGTTTGCTTGGAGAGTGATTTCAGCATGATAAGCCATTTCCATTTTCCCTGGCGCCAGTTGTGTATGCAACACCCAGCCTCCACAGACTCCTAAATCTCTTCAATTACTTATATTATCATAAGGTAATATGCTTATACTCATATACTCAATTTCACATTTTTGCAATAACCATACATCATGAAGCGAGGAGGAAAAGTTCTCTGCCAACCTCATCATTTAAATAACTAATACCCCATATACACAATTTCACATTTCTGCCACACAATAAATCATAAGAACACGGAGAAAATGTTTTTTCTTCCACAGCTGTGCATTAGCCTAATGAATGTGGATGTCCTCCCCCACAAATCCACAAATTGTGTGTGGGGGGGGTCTTGTGTGAGGCTGGGCAGTGGCAGGAAAACGGTTGAAACCTGCCTGGAAGCTCACGTGAAACGCCGACCACGGTGCAGCAGCAGCGCCGACGGGCCCTGCAATTGGCAGCAAGGCTGAATTACCCGAACGCGTCAGGTAGAGCCTGCGGGGCGGAACCCAGATGTGAAAATCTCTTTCACATCTGCCGACATGTGTGAAGCAGGGTGGAGGGGGGAGAGGGTGAGCCAATCGATCTGGAGCAGGCCCACCAATTCAGAGAGGCGTCTGAGGAAAAACAGGGCCGATCAGGGGAAACGGCAGCAAAATGTAATTTGGGGCAGGGCCCGTAGGAGTTTAGAGAGGCCGTTTGAAATGACACTGTGCCTCGTGGCCAGCCTAACCACCACTGAGATACGATTAGTTGTGTGTGCGTGTGTGTGTGTAGGTGTGTTTGTGAGTGGTCACTGTAGGATTAAAGAAAGGTGTAGTGACTCTGAGTCTCCTTCTGCCCTGACTGGACTTCCACTTGGCACAGTCATTGCACAGTGGACAAGGAGCCAAGGCGTGTGTGTCTGTGTCATCTGTGTGTGTGTGTGTGTGTGTGTGTGTGTGTGTGTGTGTGTGTGTGTGTGTGTGTGTGAGTGCAAGCACCAGCGCCAACCTGCAGAGATAAGAAAGAGTTGAGAGCAGGCCAGGAAGAGGGGCAGTTATTAGAGCACAGCGCAAAGCCGAGGCCAACATCTACAGAGCGACTAGTAATTAAAGTCAACAACTCTCTGGGCCGGTTGTGATCAGCTCGGCCATTATCTGATGTCTTCGCTCTCTGTCTCTCTCTCTCTCTCTCTCTCTCTCTCTCTCTCTCTCTCTCCCATCTGGAGAAGCAATGGATACCCATCTGGGCCCTATGAGAGAGAGAGAGTGAGAGAGAGAGGCACAACACACATAACCGACCACAAAACATGTGTATATAAGGCTCTCGGATTCAAGGGTGGTAGTAACTGCAGCGGTGCAGTCAGTTTTGGAAAATCACAGTTTTGGGAAAGACGCTGATGCGTTAATTAATGCTAGGATAAAATTCAAACTTTTAATTGTGATTTTTGCGATAGATTTTTGCAAAATTCAATGAATACTTTATTTATGCAAACACTAAATTAGTTGCTTTTAAACAGCCGTATTCCCTTTACACAGTAGCAGTATCAAAATCTCTCTGATGACGCCAACACTGATTCACAACACAGCTTCAGTGTGACGCATGGCCTGCCTGTGTGTTTATTCAAAGCCAGTGAGCCTCAGATTTTCAAAATAATTAGAATTTAAAAAAGAACTGCGTTAAAGTGACAATAACACGTTTAAGTGCTGAATGCTAATATGAATATTTTCTTTTTAAAAGAAACACAACTTAAGCTTCATTTCATTATTCTGTGTTTTGGCTGTATGCTCAAGGTTTTATGTGGTTCACACCTTTAAAAAAATACAGTTTTAAACTCCTAGGGCTAAAAATAAGCCTATAACCT